ATTTTAACACCTGGTTGTTGGTACAAAACCAACAGAGTTCCCAAAATAACCATCGAGGGACTAATTACCTGTAATGTATATTATTTGAACCCAAAGCACATTACTATAGTGGATGGCAGAGGATGCTTTTCCTGCTGTTGGACTTTTATTTATTCAGTATTTATTCAGCTGCAAAAAGAAGGTTTTGACCAGTGATTCAGCTTTTCAAGTAGTCCTGTAAATGGCAATAGAAAGGCACAGGAATATACAAGTACCATGTACAGTATCATACAAATGGTACTGGGCTTTCCTTCTCTCTTCCTCTCTAGGACTGAATTATGAGTCCATTTATGACAGGAAACAGAAAGCCAATATGTCTATATTGGGAATTGTATTGATACAGCTACTAGTAAACCACCAGTGCTGTTATCTTATGCTTTAACAGGAAAAAGTCAAGAAAGCAACACTGGCAGGATAGAAGACAGCTGTTCAGTAGGCGGATAATGCTTAGAAATTATATATTCCTGAAACTTAAAATAGATATTCAAGTTTCAAATAAAGGTATCCTTCCTCCTTCTGTGCAAATATTTTCCTACATAGGATTCTGGAAGCAAACAAGCGTTCATCACCATGGTGTCCGATCTCATCATTCAACCCAGAAGCCAAGATGATTGTCACAGGAGTGACTTAATCGGTCTTAGGAACAGTCCACTCGCTGAGCTGGTCTCTGGACTGCAGTCTCTGAATTCAGAGTGCAACACACACACGTTTCCCATCCAAAAAGCAATAAACATACCTATCTTCCAGCCCTGACTCAAAAAGCACTGAACAACTCCAGAGGTGAACCAAGAGCCCAGGAGCCAAAACAGCACCAAAAGCAGGGCATTCAGTAACGTAGCCCTAATAGCTCGTGTGAATTTCTCCAAGGTTTGTTGCTCCAACACACCATAGAGAAGCACTAATAAAGACATATGGCTAATCACACTTACAAGACAGATTTCCTGTTCAACAGTAGTTTGAAGCTCGAGATCTCATTTCCTCATTGTCAAGATCTCCAGAGGACCAGATTCTGATATCATAGGGCAATTTCTTCTCTCAGGTTTAACTGTAGTCTACTGAGGACTAGTTTAGCATCACTACAAAAAAAACCTCAAGACACACTTGCAGAAGCAGATTACTATGGCTTTTCAAATGCTAGCCCAGAATTGTATGGGCTCCTTTCACTAGGATCTTGCCAGCACAATATCCTTCCCTTCCACTCTCTTAATAATTTTGCCTACTTCTCTGCATCCGTTCCTTGGTATCCTACACATCCATCCTCAGCTTCACTCCTCCTTTGATACCAACATCGCTTAACCCATTGTATTTTACTTAGTACTACACCAGTGCTCAGGGCAAGAGATAAAAGCTCTCTTTTTCCAAAAGCTTTGCATGCTACGGGGATTTTAAAGAACATCCCTCGATCCATTTTCAGCCAACAAAGAAAGGAAGTGTTCCCATGCAGCAGAGATTTCAAGTACTACTGAGAATAGCAGAAGGCTAAAAAGACAGTATCTTCCCTTGAGCAAGTATTTGAGCTTATGATAAAAGGTAAGCACCCCGTCATCTCTTCTCAGAGAAAGAACCTGGTGCCAACAGAGTCATAAACCAGATGGCTGCAGCACACATGCCACAACTGATTCCAGTTTACTGCACTTCAGATATTGCCAATTCATGGAACA